TGGACAAACAAGTCACGAGCATGAAAATACAATAAAACAAAACATTGGTGCAATATTTCAAATTTCTGTACTTTTTTCTTATCTGGACAGTATGCAATTAAAACAGTTATATAGTCAAATAAATGCTGCATTAATTTAGACTCAGGAAGTAGTCATCCCTTTCCAGTGCATTTGAAGACACCGTAGAAGAACAGGGTTGGTTGCTGCAAAGCCTCAATGGCTTTTTTTTAAAAAATTTTTAACAAAGATATGGGTGTGTTAATATTGGGCCATCCATCAGTTAATACCATGTTTTCTTTTTTAGTACTTTTTAATGAAACTGCAAAGCTGTACACGTTTGGTAGCAGCAAATATGAGGAGTACAATAGTCTCTCACTTATCACGGGGGTTACATTCCAGACACCCCCGCGATAAGTGAAAATCTGCAAAGTATGGATGTTATATTTATTTTAGTATTTATAAATATTTTAAGGCTTTATAAACCCTTCCCACACTCTTGCAATGGTCTTAACAATGTTCTAAACTCTCTAAATGCTCTAAAAGAGCACAGCAAAAGAGAGACTGATGCTACAATTACTGAGCCAGCCAGCGCCCAGGGGTGGACTGGCCATCGGGAGCACTGGGACATTTCCCGGTGGCCTGGCCCATTCAGTGATCGCCGAAGGGGACAAAGTCTCGGTTCGGGTCACGCTTGATTTTAAATAAACAATCCATGCCGCTCACTCTGGTATCCACCTCACTGAAGCTCCAACAGCAGCAATGGGGAAAGACAGACCCCACCCCCTGCCCCCTCCTTTTTCTTTCTGAGGCTGTCACAGCAGAGCAGAGACACACAATAGGTTGTGCACCCACCTGTTGTGTGTCTCTGCTCTGCTGTGACAGCCTCAGAAAGAGAAAGGAGGGGGGCCCTTGGTGATCACTGAGCAGGCCAGGCCACCGAGAAATGTCCCGGAGCTCCCAATGGCCAGTCCGCCCTTCAGCACAATGCTCTGGTTGGTCACCTTCCATCAATCAGCCAATCGTGTGTCATATACAATCTTACATTGAAAACCTGCAAAAGAGTGAGTCCGCAAAAGTTGAACCGCGAAGTATCAAGGTACTACTGTAAGTCTAAAAAGGGTTATGAACAGTATTCACTATTTATATTTTTTAAGTGTGGCCGCGCAATGCATCAGAGATGACAATATCATTGTTCGCAATATTAATATTGAAAAGAACTCCTTTGATTATAATAAAACAGTATTAATAGAATTATAAGGTCATGCAGTCATGCATGCAAACATATAACTTATTTAGCCAATTCAGTGGAGTGCTTTCCTTCAGGCTCAAACCCAGTTTATATCAGAGACTAGCACAGACTGAAAATGTGAGATTGCTCAAATGTTGAAATAAATATTTTGTTAATTGTACACGATGTCACGAGTGCTGCATGGCTTTTGGTATTCAGAGTATGTGTTGTGAATTGTTCTCCGCTATTATCATATCAAATTTTGGCTCAATATCTGTTAACAGGGTTATAGCCATCTCCGTGTTTTCTACAGTCAGCTAACTGTGGCAGTCATCTTGACTCCAGTTGACTTCAAAAGGTAAATCTTCCAAATGGCGCTCGACTCTTGGGTGTTTGTCAACTGGGGTGGTTAGCGTAGCGCTACGTTAGTATTGCCGGAGGTGGCAGTTGTCGACAGGGGGTGGGGGGTGTTAGCGGAGCGCTACGATTGTATTGCGTGCGGTTTTTGACAGGGGGTGGGGGGTTGGGTTAGTAGGCGGGGCATTTGGTTTTGGTGACAGGGCGGGGCGCCCTCCTGGCTGAGGAAATACTGGAATCAGTCATGTAGATGTACATCCAACGGTTACTATGAGTTTTTGTTCAAATCCATTCAGTGATTTATATATTTTGCAAACAGGCTGCATTGAGTTCAATAGTTTTTGACAAAGTTTAAAACACAGCTCTAACAGATCTTCAAACCTTCAAACCACACATACAGCAGCTTGTGTTTCCTAGCGGTTTTCATTGCCTGGTTGTACTAAATCAGGTTCTGATTGTACTAATTAAACTACTGTACTGTCTTATAAAATAAACATCATTGTTCTGTTTGCATCAGCTGTAGAGTCTAGGTGTTGTTGTCGCTACTGAATATGAAACTGACAGCAAGAGTTCATGCCAGCAGATATGCAGCTCGAATTGTTGAGCAAACTCTGCTTTTCACTCAGTGTGGTGCGTTGTATCAAAGGTGGATCCTCCCGATGTTTTGTTGCCCAGTCTAGGAATGTATCAAATTGTCATATAACTGATATCAGAATATCAAATTGATATTGTGGACATTATGAAACAACTCAGCCCTTCTTAGCACATAATTTACTGAAGTGCACATTTTTAAGAGGCTACAATAAACAAGGCAATGCCCTTAGACATTGGGTACATAGATAAAAAAAAAACATTCCAACTAAATTTTAACACTTAAGTAAACACATTTTATGCTAACCGACAACATAACTACGTGCTCAACTGTTCCAGCTGATACAGAGCATGTGTGTTGGTCATCAATAAGCACATACTACAAAAGGGAATAAAAGAAAGTATAAGAAAATCTGCACTTTAGCCATTATGTTTACAGCGAGCGAGGCTGCTCTGTACCATCCTGGAAGAGGGAAGCTCAACAAGTCTTAAGTGAAACAGACAGCAGCATTTTCACACACGGCAGCTTGAGGGAAAATCACTGTTGAGAGAAAGCTTGTTTGTCCTATTCAGAATAGAAACGAGTGTGGAGGGAACCCAGTTGTACACGAGGAGACAACACTTAGCGCAGGCAATCAGACAGACTGTTTATCTAACCAAAAACGCTAAAACCCTGGTTTAAAAAGAGCTGCTTGTTTTTCTTGAGTCATTCTAATACAAGAAATGCTAACCAGTGCACAAAACACAGCCGAAATAGACAATAAATTTTGAATTACTTTACGACAACTTTTTATTTTCTTTGCCATACAGCTAGATACCTGCAAAATTAGCTGATCAGCAACGACTGACAACGCTGCTTCTCTAATCCCACCTGCAAGAGGGAGGAAAAACAGAAGGACTAAAACTGAACGGCTAATGCTCACGCAGACACGTTAAAGTCTGTCTGTAAATTGTTGCTTTCAATATTAGTCTCAAAATGCAACAGTACAGTCGATAAACAGGTTTCTGTGAGGGAAACGGAAGTTGTGCACACTCTTGCGGCCCCAAATGCAGCACATTCAGTGAAAAGTAGAAAAATTGGTGATTGATGACTGCCGAATGGTGTTGCTTAAAATACTTAGTTTTACTACAAAATAAAAAATGCATAAGCTACAATCAGTAAAACCAAAACAAAAAGTGAAAATTGTAACTTATCACTGAAAGCAAAATTGAGCAAAAACCTTAGCTAAAGACTAAATTAGCAAACTAGTCGCTAAAAGATTAAGTTACCAAACTTTTAGCTAAAAGCTAAAATGATCAAAATTATAACTGAAATCTAAATTTAGGTAGAAGTAGCAGAAAGCTAAAGTGGTCAAAACAACTTAAAAGCTATAAACGGCAATAAGCAAAACCAAAACAAAGAGCTAAATTTTCAAAATTATTACTACCATAAAAGGAAATATTAGTAAATAAACCGGTACCACTTTACAATAAGGCTCCCTTTATAGATAGGTAATAATTCATAGATACATTATTAATTCCTCTATAAACACTTTATAAATCATTAATAACTGCTTATTAAGCATTAATTAAGGGTGACAGAGGCCAGTTTCTTGCCAAACAGTGAGTCAAATCTGTTCACCTATATATTTCATCTAGAGTTGTTATATTAAACATTTCAGACTAAGTCCGTACCTTCACAGCACAATAAGCATTTTAAAAAAACTATTTTTTAGGATATAATATTAGTTGTAGATACTTATAATACAGTGATAAATTACAATAGTGTATGCTAAAGAAATAGGTTTACAAATGTTTAATGTGCTTACAAGATAGTAACTTAGTCTGAAATGTTTAATATAACAACTCTAGATGAAATATATAGGTGAACAGATGTGGCTCACTATTTGGCAAGAAACTGGTCAGTTTAGTTTGAATTGATAACATATCTATGAACTATTTATTAGCCATTTATGGGGGAGCCTTATTGTAAAGTGGTACCAATAAACCTCAACTAAAAACGTAAATTAGCAAACAAGCAGCTAAACGCTAAAGTTAGCGAACATGTACTTAAATGCTAAAATGATGAAAACTATAACTAAAACCCCAAATTAGGAAAACAGTAGCTGTAAGCTACAATTTGCAAAACTGTACCTGAAAGAGAACAATGCTTTTGAAAGAACTGAAGATAATGGAATTCAATGGGGAAAACTTGTTAAAAAATAATCTTAATAAATCTGAAACTTTAAAAACTTACCAATACTAAAAGTCATAGCACACTATTCCCAAACAAGCCAAATATTTTCATATATAAATGACTGAAAAAGCACAAATTTTACAGATTTGGTTGGATTACCAAAAACATATGGAAAAAAACTACAAACAGTAAAACTATGAATGCTGAATCAACATTCCCATAATAAAGAAAATCTACGCTGATAGGAATGCAGCGTATAAATATAACTACTGTACCGCCAAGTTATTTAACACTTGTTTTATGACCGTGAAGCATCTTCACGTTTTTTTTTTTTCCAAAAGCCAGATGGTAGTTGTTGCTGGTAGACATTTGGACCAAAGTAAAAAGAAGTTTATTTGATACATGAACGAAGGGTAGCAGCAACAAAACCTAAGAGCTTCCACTTCTGATACCTAAGAAAAAGCTCTTAAAGGAAGGTTAAAAGAAAAAAAAAAAAAAGATGGCTGAGCAGAAACTAAAAGTAGAACCCAAAGTGGCAAAAGAAATACACAAAGCTTTACAAAATGTTTTGTCTACATCAGAAAGTAGCTCGAAACAATTCATAAAGACTCAAAGAAACCTGCAGAATGAGCTTTATAAATAACTTACCAGTGCTTCATCCTCTGAAAGAACCCGCTTCTCATCATGAACAAGCACCACTTTAGCCTTGACTTCATCCACCGATATACTGTAGGAGTTACAAAGTAATCACATTAGTATTCCTTCCAGCTGGTTGGTGAATATTAGAGGTTGATTTTTATCAAGAACTATTGAACATGCGAAGGTCAGAATGGTTATACTGGCACCAGAACTCTGTGTTATGTGCTTAGGCTACATAAATTCAACTTTATTTGATGTGATGGGATTTAAAACTTTGATTTAAAATACGTAAATATTAAATATTCTGCTCTTAAAATATGCAGGATTTTTGTATTTTGCTTTTTATGAAACCCTGATAAAGCAGCCTGTAGTACCAACAGATTGTGTAATAAAACTACAAATAAGCTTAAAAGTCCAATGATATTTTTTTTAAATCATAAACAGTAATGTGTATATCTCTTGAATAATGCTTTATATATATATATATATATATATATATATATATACATATATATATATATATATATATATATACATATATCATACATCATTTCCGTGCGCGGCTGCACTCTGCGGCCGCTTCAGCAACATGGCAGACGAGGCAGAAACCATGAAATTCACTCTCCTGCTGGATTTAAATCAACACTGTGGAAATAT